GCAGAAAGAATAACAATGAGATCAAATGTTATGTTTCTGATATCTTATCTATATTTAGCCGGGCAATAACTTTTCACAAGATAAAATTATGAATTTGCTATTGAATCTCGGCAAGGGAAATATATAACAGAATCTTAGCCCTATAGAATTTTGACTAAGCTGGTCAGTGTTAAAATACATCTGCAGCTTATTTGAATGCCGGTCTCAAAGTATTGTCTATGTAAAATATTAAATCATTGGCCTTGGAAATAGTTGAGTTGAGGAAGGAAATAAGTTCCAGGGGGGAAAAAATGCTAGTAAAAAGTAATTATCCAACAGCAAAAGTTTGAAAGTTGCTCGATAGCAAAACTAAACTATCTGCCTATTGTAAACATCAATGCCATTACAGTTCCCACTGTAATGGCATAAAGCATTAGTTAGCATTCTTCAACCCTCTTCCACTGAAGCATGGATTGATTTAACTATCTGCAATGTTTATTTAAAGAAAAACAATTAAATTGACTTTTGGCCACGCTGTTGGTTTTTTTCTCCCTGAACTGCGTTAGAAATTAAGAAGCTACAAAGAAACTGTTTCCAAGGCTACCAATTTCAAGATCAAATTTACACGGTGGCTTGCTTTAGTAATAAAATCTGACCACGGTTTTCTCTCTTTGGGAAACAATAAAAATTGCTTTTTTGGGGGGGAGGCTATGCATTCGAGACAACGTAGAGATGATCAAGCTCCACAAACAGCTTATAGAGAAAACCAGCGACTTTGCAGCATTGGAAGAAAAGTTGCTTCAGCTTCAGGAGGTAAGGAGATCCTTCAGGTGTCTCATCCAGATCCAGGTAATCTGACCCCGCCCTCAAGCACAGCCTCGGTCATCTCCTACGTAATCACCGGGAAACCTTTTAATTGCATTTGTCTTAATCTTCCTCACTTCAGCAATACTAGAAAGGGTTCATGTTCTGTACTCATACTGCTGTGTCTAGATCACATCCACGGCGAGAGGATCTCCTGGATGCTCAGTTGTTTAAATGTATTTATTTATTATATTTATATGGGCGGTGTGGTGGCTCAACGGTTAAGATGTTGGGCTTTTCGGCTGGAAAGCCAGCAGCCCAGGTTCAAGTCCTGAGCGCCACGTGACAGGGTGAGCTCCCGTCCTCACCCCAGCTCCTGCCCAGCTAACAGTTTGAAATGTGAGTAGATAAATAGGTACCACTTCGATGGGAAGGTAACAGCGCCCCGTGACGTTATGCTGGCTACATGATGGTGGAAATGTCTTCGCACAGCGCTGGCTCAATGAAATGGAGATTAGCACCGTCCCCTATAGTCAGCAACGACTAGCGAAGTAAAATCCACAGAGGCTCCATTACCTTTTTTAATGACCGTGTTTCCCCCAAAATAAGACCCAACTGGAAATAAGCCCTAGCATGTGATTTTTCAGGATGCTCGTAATATAAGCCCCACCCCAAAAATAAGCCCCAGTTAAGATGGTCAGCATTTAGTACCGTATTTCCCAGTTAAGATGGCTGCATTTAGTACCGTATTTCCTCAAACATAAGGCCTAACCTGAAAATAAACCCTAGCATGATTTTTCAGGATGCTCATAATATAAGCCCTGGTTAAGAGAGTCAGCCAGACGGACACATTTAGTACTGTATTTCTCAGAATATAAGCCCTAACTGGAAAATAAGCCTTTAATGCATCTTTTGGAGCAAAAATTAATATAAGCCCTTGTCTTATTTTGTAAAGCTATTTAAAAACATTCAACCTTAAGGATTAAAAAACAAACAAATAACTAGATGAAGAAAGGGCCGAAACAGAAACAGAGTGGAGGTGGAATCTTAATAATAATAATAATAATAATAATAATAATAATTAATAATAAAGTTGGAAGGTTGAGCAAAGCTACCTGATTCTGAATGTAGCCTAAATGTGACTTATCTAGCACTAATATTTCTTTCCTTCCATTCTTTACTCTCACAGAACCAGAAGAATCTCAAGACAAGCCACGATGCCCTAATAGCCAAGGGGGAAGAACTGAATTTGCAACTTAAAGAAGAACGTTCAAAGTGCCTTCACCTAGAGAGAGAATTGCAGGCCACCACATTTTCGAGACGAAGATTAGAAGAGGTAAAACCTTTTTTTTTTTGTGGTATTTAAGAGAGGCACGGGCGTCTCCCAGCGTTCTCAAGCGGAGCAGAGCAAAAATGTTTAGTGGAAGGGACCAATCAGTTAGAGGCTATCTGATAATTTGAACAATCTGGTCTTGTTTAGCTTATCATTAGCAGGAATCTGCCAGACGCATGTTGGCAGACGTAGGATATTTACCCTCCAATCGTCTTATAACTCGTTCACACTGCATATTTTCCACGCTATGTCGATTGTTCCCACCCACGGTTCCTATTATTGCGCTGCAGTAGGATTCGTATGAATCTGAGCTGTCTAAATGGAGCAATCGTTCCGTGAACATCTCTGGAAAAAATCTTTGCCTCGAAGTAATATATTAGTATTCGTTCCAAGAGGTCAGCCATTTCAGGACACAGAATTCATCCTTTTCCACGATGACTACTAAAGTCTTATATAATGGGTCAAAAGCCTCATTGGACTGCTACTCATAAAGGAGGTAAAATTATCATCCTTAAGAGACTGTGAGTTCTAGTCTCGCCTTAGGCATGAAAGCTGGCTGGGTGACTTTGGCCAATCTCCAGGATAGGGTGAGTTCTAGTCCTGCCTTAGCCATAAAAGCTGGCTGGGTGACTTTGGGTTAATTGCCAGGAGGCTGCGAGTTCTCGTGCCCCCTTAGGTGTGAAAGCCAGCTGGGGGACTTAGGACCAATCACCAGAAGAGGGTGAGTTCAAGTCCCACCTTAGGCATGAAAGTCAGCTGGGTGACTTTGGGCCAATCCCTTTCCTTCAACCCAGCTTATCTCAGAGGGTTGTTGTTGAGAAAATAAGAGGAAGCAGTATTAGGATATTTGATGCCTTGTGTTATGTATAAAAAAACATTAAAGGTAGGACATAATTAATAAATAAAATCAAACCTGCCAATGTGTTTATCCCAAAGAAATAAAGAACACCTTTAATAATAATAATAAAGTTGGAAGGGACCTTGGAGGTCATCGAGTCCAACCCCCTGCTCAGGCAGGAAACCCTACACCATTTCGGACAAATGGCTGTCCAGTCTCTTCTTAAAAACTTCCAGTGTTGGAGCATTCACCGCTTCTGGAGGCAGGTTGTTCCACTGGTTAATTGTTCTCACTGTCAGGAAGTTTCTCCTTAGTTCTAGGTTGCTTCTCTCCTTGATCAGTTTCCATCCGTTGCTTCTTGTCCTGCCTTCAGGCACTTTGGAGAATAGCTTGACTCCCTCTTCTTTGGGGCAGCCCCTGAGATATTGGAAGACTGCTATCATGTCCCCCCTCGTCCTTCTCTTCATTAAACTAGACATACCCAATTCCAGCAACCGTTCCTCATATGTTTTAGCCTCCAGACCTCTAATCATCTTTGTTGCTCTTCTCTGTACTCTTTCTAGAGTCTCAGCATCTTTTTTACATCATGGTGACCAAAACTGGATGCAGTATTCCAAGCGTGGCCTTACCAAGGCCTTGTAAAGTGGTATTAATACTTCATGTGATCTTTGTCCGTGAAACATTATTTTTAATATTTTTGAGTGGGGGTACCATTGTAATCTGCCTTGTCCTTCGGTGACATCAGAGCAGCAAAAGTGATACAGGGGATCGTCAGTCCCTCATTGGCAGAGAAAGCAGGTGGCCCAGGCCCTTTTAGCCAGGGAACCTATTGAATATTAGTAATTGTTGCTTTCACCGTACACGATGAATCCCTGGTAACATTCTTTTTCATTCCAGCTGCAAGACAGAATTAATGATCTGGAAAAAGAGAGGGACCTTTTAAAGGAAAACTATGATAAATTATATAACAGGTAAACTATAACTAATGGAGTAATTTCTTTTAAACTTGGGTGTTTTTTAAAAAAATGTTCTTGGGGAAAAATAACCGGACTCCGAAGCACGGATGTGTAATGTTGAACTCAATGACCTGAACAGGTAGGAACGGGCGACGTTGCTAGTGCCTTGGAACAGTGACTCAAGAATCTTGTCCACCTTCGCTTTCCCACTAATGAATCCATGCATATTATTTGGGGAGCAATCTAGGGTGACTAAGCTGCTCCTGCGTCGGAGAACTTCCTGTGGGTCTCTTTCTGGTCCTTAGGAACTGCCTGACCTTGCTCTTCACTCCATCAGTCTTTTAACTTTTACAAGATTGAGCCCTGATCTACGGCCATTTGCCCAGCCGGCAGTGTGTCATCAATCTTTTTTCTTCCTTTTTTTTAAGTTTTGTCCTTTTCTTTCTCGCCTCTGGAAAGAAAGAGACTAAGTGGAGATTTACAGGAACATGGCAAAGCTTTGTGGTGGGACAGAGCAGTGGCGAAAACTACCTTGGGCAATAGTTCTGTTCAAGATAATGATCAGCAAGCTTTGGAGTTGACAAGAAAGGCAGGAATTTTTCTTAAGGAAATTCGGAGGTTGTGTTGGCAAGAAGTGTTAACCTAGGGTTGAGTTGACCTTAGTTTAATAACCCATTCTTCTGAGTTCATACAACACACTGACCTTTATATGAAGCACATGACTTGGTTGGTCCAAAGTCCTGGGCTAAACATGCTAGGTTAGAATGTACTTAACTATTTTGTGAGTCAGTTGTGTTGGATGACCATATTAGCCCAGGAACAAAACATTCATTTAACCACAAATACTTCTCAATATCCATTGAGATTGTCGTTCCCTTTTTATATATGAAGACAATAGGCTTGTAAAGAGGATGACTCTTAGATTCATGATTTAGCTGGTTGAATTCCGATGGAAAGGATGATCAGAATAACAGAGTTGGAAGGGACCTTGGAGGTCTTCTAGTCTAACCCCCTGCTCAGGCAGGAAACCCTATACCATTTCAGACAAATGGTTGCCCAATCTCTTCTTAAAAACCTCCCATGAGGGAGCACCCACAACTTCTAAAGGCAAGTCGTTCCACTGATTAATTGTTCTAACTTTCAAGAAATTTCTCCTTAGTTCTTGGTTGCTTCTCTCCTTGATTAGTTTCAGTCTGTTGCTTCTCGTCCTGCCTTGGAAAATAGGTTGACCCCCCCCCTTTGTAGAGCCCCTCAAATATTGGAAGACTGCTATCATCACCCCTGGTCCTTCTTTTCATTAAACTAGACATACCCAACTCCTGCGACCGTTCTTCATATGTTTTAGCCTCCAGCCCCCTAATCATCTTTGTTCTTCTTCTCTGTACTCTTTTTCAATCTCTCTTTTTTTATATCGTGGCGACCCAAACTGGATGCAGTATTCTAAGCGAGCCTTATAGTCTTGAAAGAATCGGCTTTTGTGAACTGTTCTTCCCTTGTGGGACCTGGAGCAATAAATCCTTTACTCCCCCACCCCCCTCCCTCCCTCCCTCCCTGCCAAAGCTCTCCCCTCTTGTACAGATAATGTTGCCCTTCCACGCTCTGACGAGGAACCATCCATTTCAGGCAGCCTTTCCTGCCTGCAGCTCTTACCCTGCAACATCTCAATTTCCTGAAAAATGCGGACTCCGACTCCAAGCCAAGCGGAGCGTCGTTTTTGACTTTTCGGGTGCCAAAAAGCCTTGGGCTGGCACTGGTGGCTGCCCTTGATATTTCTATAAAGTTGCTTCGAGGTAATAGTCTGTGTAAGTTCTGTCAGCAGCGCTTAATATCACATAAATAAAAAATTAGGAAGCTAAACCCACGGAACATGAAATGAGATAGGGCGCTGAATTCATTTTCTGGTGCCGAACAGAAAATTGAAGCAATTACAGTCAATCTGCAGAGGCTTAATGAGGAAACACCTGATTGTTGAAGCCTCCAGTTGCAGATGAAATATATATATATGTACAGTCTGTATGTATGTATGTATGTATATGCATATTTAAAAAACACCATGCTATAACATGGGAATAATGCTAGGAAGTATATATATATATATATATCTGTGTGTGTGTGTGTGTGTATACACACACACAAACACACAAACACATATACAAGCATACACACACACACACACACACACATATATACACACACACACACATTTTTTGGATTGCTAACAAAGAATAAGGGAGGATGGAATAGCTATTTCGAGCTTCTTAGCTCTCTTCAGCCAAACATACCCTTCTGAGTTTCGAACCTGGGCTGCTTATATGTTAGGCAGCTGTGTTAACCTCTAGGCCACAGGCTCTTTCTCACTTTGTATATATATATCTTGAGTGTTTTTTTTGATGCACCCTGTCGGCCCAAATATGGGAGGAAGAAATCTTTTGCCTGTATCAGCTCAGTCTAGAGCTGTCCACAGGCAGGCAGTCGCTACTGCGACATCATTTGTATTTCCTAAATTTTTGGATTGCTAGCAAAGAATTAAAGGGGACTGGGATAGCTATTTCGAGCTGATTAGCTCTCATCAGCCAGCCATACCCTTCTGAGGTTCGAATCTCAGAAGGGTTCTGGCTGGCTGATGAGAGCTAATCAGCTCGAAATAGCTATCCCAGTCCCCCTTAATTCTTTGTTAGCAATCCAAAAAATTAGGATTTTAATTTAGGATATATAGGATTTTATCTATATATATATATAAAAAACATCTGCAAAAAACCAACCAAGTTCAGAGAGCACAAAGGTTCCCTCGTTTCAACCCTGAGCTACAAATATTATTCTTTATTGGTTTGCCATGACGATCATGGTCCTTTCTCTGCCCTGACTCCCATCTTTCATCTTTTTTACATTGGAGACTATTTCAGAGAGGACCTCCTCGTGCCACGTGGCATGTTTAGGAGGGCAAAAGAGTGGTTTACCTGCCCGTGTGTCTTATGTTTTCATTCCCCTCCCCCCTTTTTTTGTCATATTCAATTTCTCAGTGCCTTCGGAGTGACCCACGACCAGCAGTGGAAGCTGAAGGAGCAGCAGCTGAAGCTGCAGATCGGTCAGCTCGAGGCGGCTTTAAAGGCAGATTTAGCCGAAAAAAGCAATATCCTGGACAGAATCAAAATGGAACGAGGTACACCAACTGCCTGCGCCAAGCGTGAGGATTTGTTTTCGAGTTTTAAGTCATGGAGAACATCCAGGAACATAGCAAAGGTGCTGTGTGCCAGGTCAGGTTCTTCATCTCTGCTGTCCAAATTTTTTTCTGACTAGCTCAGGGCGAAAGTTGAGACCATTCTTTCTGTCTCTCGCTGCTAAATCATTTTAACCAGTCACAGGAACCCAAATTGTGGACCTTCTGGTCCAAAGTCCTCGGTCTACCTCTGGAATCCCACAGTTTGCCCTCAGGTGCCCTGAGTAGACAAAGCCAGAAGGGTCTTATAGGATATAAATGCAACAAAACCATCAATAGGCTATGCTGGTCTCCTCTTTCTCTTTGGGTGGAAGGCAGGAGTTAATGTTGACATGAGAAAAGGCCCAATTATCCCTGACCCAGACACAATCAAAGCTGTTACCCCCCCTCCTCCTCCCCCCAGGATTATATATTTTTGTGTAGCTTGGATTTCCTGAAACAGCAGCGAGGATATAAATCTGAACTGAATTGTAGCAGAACTGCAGATAGGAGCTCCGGGTATTTGATGGCTCTCTCTTTGCAAATCCCTCCCCCCCCCGTCCTCTCCTAAAAGGGGACCCCAGCTTTGCTTCTAATAATTGCCATCTCTTAGAGCAGTGCAGAATCCTGAGTAAATCACCGCTAAGGAAATAATAAGTTGGTTCTGGAGCCGATTGCCTGCTTCAGCTAAAGTCAGTGAACAGAGCAAGCGCGCCTCTCTTGATTCGTTCGCTCTTGATTTCATTTACCGTTTGTCGGAGAGCCCGTCTGAAACTTCACAAATTTGTTTAGACAGTAAGAACTGTTTTGATCCCTTGCCTGTTCCCCCACTCAACTGCCTTCCCCACCCCCAACGCACACACCGAGACACGCTTTGCTCTCTTCAGTTTTACAGAATAGCTTCAGGTTTTATTATCCTCTCGGTTGGAACATTTCAATACAGTTTTAATGCTGAAATTAACTGCAGGCTTAAGAGCCTTTTTGTCTTCTTCCAGTTCTTTGCAACGTGGAATGCACGGGTCAGCACCTTCCCTGTATTGATTACAGATGATGATATTAGCCCAAACAGGTTTTGACAGCTGTTTGTTTTATCGGTAGATTATCTTAATCTTTGTTTTCTTAAGCGCCTGTTCTTTTATGAGCCTAAGGACTCCGTGCTTGGGGTTGAACCTTGTTTTGAATTAAAGCTTAGAATCCCACCCCCAGAAGTTAGATTCCTCCCTTGGAAGCGTTTCGTAGATGAATAATGGAAGTTTTCTTAACACTGTTCGTGGAGTTCGTAATGCTGTCAAGTACCACATTTGATGACTTTCAAAGCAGTTGAGCATCAAGGTGCCCCTGTACCCTCTTGAGTTATTTTGCATTCTGCTTCCAGTACAGTTCCATAGGCTGCCGTCGATCGATCAGTTCTCTAAAAAAAATTTCCCTGGTTTCCACAGGGCTATGAAAGTTGAGCCCTTTTCTTCCTTAGCTCTTGGATTCAAATCCATCTAGGGGAGGGGTCCCCAACCCCCAGGCCACAGCCCAGTATTGGTACTGGGCTGTGGCCCGTTTGGAACCGGGCCACACAAGCTGCAGGCGAGCGGGCACACACAGTTTCACCTACGCGAGTGCCCGCTGCTCACGTTAGCTGGAGCTGCGCGCATGAGCGGGCCTGCCGCTTGCCCCATTTCCTCTCCCTGCCGCCCCCCCACGCCAGTCCGCAAAGCCGGAAAAATTGGGGACCGCTGGTCTAGGGCAGTGGTTCTCAACCTGTGGGTCGGGACCCCATTTGGGGTCGATCGACCATTTCACAGGGGTCGGCAAGCAAGGCTGTCCGCCATTTTTTTTGTCCATTTTTTTTGTCCACCATTTTTTTCCCCTTTTCCGGCGGGTGCCTTACCTCCCTTGGGCTGGGCCAGCTGGTGGTCAGCCTGCTCCGTCTCTGCCGCTTGCCAGCTACGCCTCGGCCGGCACAGGGGGCGGAACCACGCATGTGCGGCGCTCCCGGGCAGGGAAAGTCCTCGACTTACGACCGGTTGGGTAGTCCTCGACTTACGACTGGTTTAGTCCTCGACTTACGACCGGTTTAGTCCTTGACTTACGACCGGTTGGGGTCGCGGCATTAAAAAGGTTGAGAACCACTGGTCTAGGGCAAAGTGATGGTTGAAACACAGCGTTGCATGTCATACGTATTACTTAACCTAAATGTGTTGCAAGTTAAGTAGACCGAAGAACCACAGGTGGAGTTTCTCAGATTTTGCTGGGTGCAAAAAAAAAAAAAGACTTTTTCCTCCGTTCCCTTTTGAGACCAAACTGAAAAGCTGTCCCAGGAGAATCAGGAGCTACGAATGCGCTGTCTTGAGCAGAAGCAACAGCTGGAAGAGCTGAAGGCCCGCGTGAATTTTTTCACCAAGGTGAATTTTTTTTCCCCTCCTTCTTTAGAGAATGACTGAAAAAAAAAAAGGGGGGGGGAAGCTTTCTATATTTTATGCAAATGCTTCTTTCTTAAAAGCCCAAACCGAGTAACTGAGGATACGGCAGTGTTCATTTATTCATGCTGTCCAGCCAGATGTCATGTTTTATGTGAATGCAAGAGAGAGAGTCTCCCTCCATTATTCATTTCTTGAAGAGACCCTGTTTCTCTGTCCTTTCTCTGTTTCAGGAGAATGATGTCGATATGACCGAACTCAATGAGGCTCTCACACTTCTGAAGGTAACTAGCACAACTGGTCACAACCCCCCTCGTCAAGCTCTTTCTGTTCTCACCCAATACGATCCTGAAAACATCTGGTTTTTTTGAGATGAGTTTTTCTCGTGCTTTGTTTGCAAGCTCATGTTTGTTTTTTGCTTGAATAGTGTCCACTGTGTCGTCCCTTTTCTCCCAAAAAACCCCCAGAAAAGGTAGCAAGATAAAACACATTAATGTTGTATGCATTTTCCATTATGACAACGGAAGTCAAATTACCTTAAATCTACCCAGATTGGCTTCAAGAATCTTCTCCAACCTGAAGATCCTTAACATTGTGAGCTTTCCGTAACCACGTTATCCCCACTGCAGGCTTCATCACACCAACTCTGCAGATTGTTTGGGGTGGAAACAAATTCTGAAAGCTTTTAGGTTGGATGAGAAGAATTGACTTTTCTTGAACAAGTATAGACAAGTTTCTAATGGAGAGGTAGTCTTTCCCCTCTTTAATGAAACCCAATTGTTATTAAAGTATTGGCCTTATGGCAATCTCTTTCATAAGAAAAACTGGTGGGTGGGTGGGTTTTCCCTCTCCACAAAATTTTTTGAAGCTTTCTTAGATAATATTTTTTTCAGGGAAAAGCGAACTAATCAGTGTGGGTGAACTTTCTGTTCCTTGAAGTTGAGTTGCACTTGAAAATTTCTCATTGTGTTGTTTGAGATAGATAGATAGATAGATAGATAGATAGATAGATAGATAGATAGATAGATAGATAGATAGATAGATAGATAGATAGATAGATAGATAGATAGATAGATAGATGAAGAGATAGATGAATATAGATATAGATATAGATATATGGAAAGCACATGCCTGAATCATCTTGGATGCACCCACCTTAAATGTAGCAATTCTACAAGCACAACATCTTTTTCTCATTATTTTAGACCTATGTTTAACATCAGATTCAACAACAAAGTCATTTGCAGCACCTTGGAAAGGCTAATAAATCTGGCATAGCCTCACCCTACCTGACATTTTCCAGATGTGTACAATCTCGATTTCCATAATTTGCAGCCAGCCCCGCCAGTGAGAATTATGGGAATTTTAGGCCAGCACATCTAGAGAAGTACCATAGTTAAGGAAGTGGGGAGAGTCTGTCCAGTCTCCAGGGCCCTTCCACTTGATTAGGTAAATACCACATATATAGTATGTTTTGTGTGCATCTCAATTGACGCCCACACAGATATAGAAAATTGACAGAACGGAGTTTATAAATTGACAGAACTATTAATTCCCGTGACTGGGAGATTTGCAATTCAGTTTGCAATACTAACTAGAGGTAAATTCTGTTACCTTAGATATGCAGAAATTTGCAGCCTCAGTTTTTATCTACAGATACCATACCAGCTCTCATTGAAATGACTCTTGAATTCCTTTGAACTCGCTTGAAACTTATTTCTGAATAAAGATGTATAGGATTTGGCTCAAAGCAGATTGCTAATTAGTTCTGAGCTGCCTTCCTTTTTTTTTCTGCAGAGCACTGAGATATACAGAAGCTTGGTCTTTCAACACAGATTTATTTTAATGCTGAAAAGAGAGAGGTCCATTTATTACAATTAAAATAAAAGGGGTTTTTTTTATATAAAAAAACTAATTATGAAGCTGTCAACTTTTATGACCTAGGTTCATAGACAGCAAGCAAGTGGAAACCTCGGGTTTTTGGAGAAAGTACAAGATGACAGCCATAAGGATTTAGAGCGATCCCTGCGTGATCTTCAGGCAGTTCATGCAGAAACTGTTCAAGAACTTGAAAAGACACGCAATATGTTAATTGTGCAGCATAAAATTAACAAAGACTATCAGGTACCGTACTTAATTTTCTCACTGCAGCTGAACGTGAAGTATCTCTGTCATTGTGCTTGCCTCATTTTTTTATTTTTTTTTGAAAAAAAAAATCTCATGATGAAGATTAATGAATCCAATATTTTATGTGGTAACTAACCAAATCTTAATGAGCTGAACTCTACCAGACTTCACTCTTGAAATAAACTTTTCATTTAACCGTGTAACTCCAGCGTGCGTCACCCCTCCCCAGTTTTTTCTAGCAAGTAGTTTATATGCAAAAAAGACTGTGGTTTGCACCCCAGCACCCCCAGCCTAATTAAATTAAATGTTTGGGTCTACTGAAGCCCAGCAAATAAAGGGATCTTAAAAGTCAGGTTTGGTGGTGGGGATAAATGGCTTCATACTAAGATTGCATTGTACAAACAAACATAAAGTCCAAATTTTCCCAAGCCAGGCCCTATTGGAAATATATTCAGGCATCAGTCATAACTGCTTCTTGCATTCTTCGTATCCTTCTGTTTCCTCAAGAGAAAGAGTGAATTTCCCTAATCCTACCACCAACCCAAAGAAGTATAGATGGTGTCCAATGTATCTGAGCTTCATTGTTTTCTTGAAGACATTTCATTACCCAGCTAGGTAACATCATCAATGCTAGGGTGACCTGTATGTTTACAGGACCGAATCTTGTCCAAGTCTATCGAATTTTGCATGAAATGTTTCCTAGTTCAGTGAATGAAGGACGAAGCCGAGGCTTGCTACCCTTCTCGTCTCCGTCCTCCTGAATAAGTACGAGATAATTTGTCACAGAGAGACAATTTTATCCCCAATTCAATTCCGCCGAGTTTGGGTTTTCTTTCGTTTTCTTATTTCTGAGTGGTATAACTCAAAAAGTTCAGGGATTTTCATGTCCTCCCCCCCAGAATGAAAGCCCGTGGCATTTGGCTTCTCTCTCCATGGCATCCTGTGAGTTTGGTGATCTCACATTTTGATTCATAATGTGAGACACACAGAAAAGGATGCAGAATCGGGGATTGGCCCTTGCTCGCAATTAGACTTTTTTTTTAATTTCCAGAATAGAATTTAATACCTCAAAGAGGCCTGGGAAAATCAAAATTTTGACTTAACTGCCCCTCAGCCAGTCATTTTATTTCTATACACCGCCCAGAGCCTCTCCGTGAGGGAGCTGGGCGGTTTCTAAATTTGATAACTGAATAACTAAATAAATTCCAGCACTTGGAAACAAATGATGGTTTCGTCATATTGGGGGAAAGGGCCTTCGTTGACGAACTGCTTGGCGCAAAACATGGACTGTGGGCCTAACGCTCTGTTCTTCCTCACATCATCAGGCGGAAGTGGAATGCGTGACACGAAAAATGGAGGCCTCGCAGGAGGATTATGAGTTCAAACTGGAACAGTACGTCCACCTCCTTGACGTTAGAGCTGCCCGTATCAGAAAATTAGAAGGTATATCGGCCAGAATTCCGGTTTTACCACAGAAAGGACCGTAGGAGGGAGGGAAAAAAATTAGGAAAGGAGATGAAGGGTTCACTCGTGACCACCTATTCGATTGTGTTTCACTGGTGAAAACCCGGGAGTTCCACTGGGGGCGTAAACTGAGGTTTGTGGAAAGAAATACAGGTAGGCCTCAACTTACAATTGTTCGCTTAGTGACCGTTCGAAGTTTCGACGGCACTGAAGAAAGTCACCTATGGCCGTTTTTCAAGCAAAGTCAATGGGGGAAGCCCTGTTTGCTTAACCACCGCATGATTCACTTAACAACAGTGATGGTTACACAACAGTGGCGAAAAGGTTGCAAAGTGAGGTGCAGTCCCTTAACGACTGCCTCGCTTAGCAATGGAAATTTTGGGCTTAATGGCAGTCGTATGAAGAGGACTACCTATAGTAGAGCATTTAAGAATACAGAATAACAGAGTTGGAAGGGACCTTGGAGGTCTTCTAGTCCAACCCCCTGCTCAGACAGGAAACCCTATACCATTTCAGACAAATGGCTGTCCAGTCTCTTCTTAAAAGCCTCCAGTGTTGGAGCACCCACAACTTCTGGTGGCAAGCTGTTCCACCGGCTGATTATTCTTACTGTCAAGAAATTTCTCCTTAGTTAGGGTTCAGAAGACTCCTGTTTCTGCTTGTCACTTGTCTCCTTGTTAAGTTTTCTAGTTTCTTTTAATCCACGTGTCGTGCATCCCTCTAAATCAGGGGTCCACGGCCATGAGCAAGCCGTGACCTATTCGCAACCGGGCTGCTTGAGTTGACTGGCCGGCACACACACTCACAGCCCAACTTGTGCTCGCTCACACAAATGGAGCTGCGCACGCATGCACGTGCGCTCTTTGCCCCTTGCACAAAACCATCCCCTCTTCCCCTCCCAACCCCCCAGAGTGGGCCACCAACCCTGAACACCGCTGTAAATTATGGATCTGAGGGTTAGAATCACAAATTCTGAGGAAGCAACAAGGAAAAACCCAAAGGTGCTTTTTTTTCCAGAGGCAACTGGACTTGCTTTGTTTTTCTTTTGAAGTCATTTCACTTCTCATCCAAGAAGCTTCTTCAGCTCCCACTCATCTACCATCTAGTCCAGAGGTAGGCAACCTGGGCTCTTTTATGACTCGTGACTTCAACTCCCAGAATTCCTGAGCCAGCATGGCTCAGCTTGGAAACCTCTCTCTTTCCCCTCAGCATGGCTGGCTCAGGAATTCTGGGAGTTGAAGTCCACGAGTCATAAAAGAGCCCAGGTTGCCTACCCCTGATCTAGTCAGAGCTGAAGAAGCTTCTTTTGGATGAGAAGTGAAACGTCTTCAAAAGAAAAAGAAAGTCCAGTTGCCTCCTGAATAAAAAGCACCTTTGGGACAACCATGAGCAGAATGACAGAGAATCTCCATAGCAAGGAAGAATTTAAGCTCCTTCCCCAACGAGTTCATGTCCGCCTTCTCTTCTTTGCCTTTACCAGCCCAGCTGAAGGATATCGCTTACGGTACCAAACAGTACAAGTTTCGACCAGAGATGATGGCTGACGAGCCTGCGGATGACTTTGACGAAACGGCTCATTTGGAAAGAGGAGAGAACCTCTTTGAGATCCACATCAGCCGGGTGGCATTTTCCCCAGAAGCGGCCGCATCTTTCGGTGACCAAGAGCCCGCCACGTTCTGTACTTACGCCTTCTACGATTTCGAACTACAGACCACTCCGGTGGTCCAAGGGCTCAGCCCGGCCTACAATTTCACATCGCAGTATCTGGTGCGGGTGGACGATTGCTTTTTGCAGCACTTGCAGAAGAGCGCCACCACCCTGGAAATCCACCTCGCTCACGGCGTAGACTTTGAAACGGCGGGGGCTTGCCAGCTGAGATTCCACGAAATTCTGGAAAAAAACGGTAGAATCTGCGGTTCCGCCATCTTGGTTGGTAGGTGTCGCTTGTGGATGTTGAAGTTGCATTTTTGATTGCTTTGGTAACTGTGTTTAGAAACAAATGTTATGTATTTAGCAACCAGCCTCAATGACTACCTAGATCAGGGGTCCTCAACCCCCGGTCTGTGGCCCGGTACCGGGCCGCAGCATGCCAGCAACTGGGCCGCACAAACAAGCAAAGCCCCATCCGTGAGATGCAGGCAGCACACAAAACCACACACCCTCCAGTCCACGGAAAAACCTCTCTCCACAGAACCGGTCCCTGGTGCCCAAAAGGTTAGGGACCTCTGACATAGATCACTAAGTTCCAACTAACATTCTCCAAGCGTTATTTTTTTTTATTTTTAATTATGGCACCTACTGTGATTTCTGAGGTTCTCTGTCCAACAGAGTTAGGAAATGTTAAGTTGAGGTCAGCCTAAATCCATCTGGTGAGTTTTGGCAAATGAGTGTTTTCATAAATTAGAAAAGGAAGACACAAGATTGCAGTCCTGCGCACTTGTACTCATGATTAAGTTATGCGGATCTCAGCGAAGCCAATCCATGAATTAGTGTCACTTAACTGATCATGCGTTTATAAATGCGTGTTTACCAGCTTGTGTTCACATGAAAAAAAAAACAGCCCTTCTTTTGATATAACGAGAGAAAATTGGTGTTAATGTTGACATAAATTAGGGAGCTAAATCAATTCCATGCTGCTATCATTTGGATTGGTTGAAGAACGTTGGTGCGCAACAAAATATTATGGGGAAGTTGGAGAAAAGGGGTAATAGATGTTTGTTAATTACGAATGCCTCCATTTTTATGTTGTATTAATCCATGTACAAGCCAGGTTTTGTTTCAGTAATGCCCTGGCAATAGGAAATTGCCATTGTAGTCTGCATAATTATGGCCTATTTATTTATTTATTTATTTATTTATAATAAGACTTATATGCCGCCCTTCTCCTCCATGGGACTCAGGGCGGCTCACAGCATATTTAAGGTACGTGGCCCTTTTAGATTGAAATAACATTATTACAAAGCATTAAAATACGCTCTAACAGAAAGCATGAATTTGAATCCATCAATAATTATTTATTCATCCTATTAAATGGCTAGAAGAATATTGACAAAGTCAAATGTTCATGCTTGTGGGTCTGACAAAACTGCTTTCGTGTAAGAACCATTGAGAAGTGAATTACATTTATTAATGTAAGATTGTCCATAGCCTAGGCCAGGCAACTTTAAGACTTGTGGACTTCAAAGAGAAACAAAGATGATCAAGGGACTGGAGGCTAAAACATATAAAGAACGGTTGCTGGAATTGGGTATGTCTAGTTTAACGAAGAGAAGGATGAGGGGGGACATGATAGCAGTCTTCCAGTGTCTCAGGGGCTGCCCCAAAGAAGAGGGAGTCAAGCTATTCTCCAAAGCACCTGAAGGCAGGACAAGAAGCAACGGATGAAAAGAGAGAAGCAACCTAGAACTAAGGAGAAACTTCCTGACAGTGAGAACAATTAACCAGTGGAACCACCTGCCTCCAGAAGCGGTGAATGCTCCAACACTGGAAGTTTTTAAGAAGAGACTGGACAGCCATTTGTCTGAAATGGTATAGCATATCCTGCTTGAGCAGGGGGCTGGACTAGATGACCTCCAAGGTCCCTCCCAACTTTATTATTATTGTTGTTGTGTTGTTGTTGTTGTTGTTGTTGTTATTATTATTATTATTATTATTATTATTATTATTAACTCCCATGCTGGCTAGGGAATTCTGGGAATTAAAGTCCACAAGTCTTAAAGTTGCCAAGTTTGGAGACCAAACTTGGCCTAAGTAGCAGAGCACCCTACCTTAACTCCAGCGTGCAGTTTTTCCCATTATGACACTGAGATCCCACGAAAGCCAAACCCCAGCCTGTGTTTAGTGACTGATCATCTTATCCTTAGAGAGAGCGGCTTGGTTGAAATAGTTAAATCTCAAAAAACAAAACACCTGGATTCTGTGTGGCATTCACAATGACTGCCAATAATGTTGACGATCTTGAGGCTGAAATTTTTGACCTTGCAAATGTCCACGAACTTTGACTTGTAGGCGTTGGAAGAGAAATTCAAAATTACGGCACCGTGGAATATTGGGTCAGGTTAAGAGTTCCCATGGACCAAGCGATCAGACTGTACAAGGAACGGGCAAAAGCCCTTGGCTACATCACAGCAAATTTAAAAGATCAAGCAAGTATCAGGGGTTGTTGGTTTTTTTTTAGTTGTATTACTGTTGTTGCCTCAAGAACAGTTCTCTTCCTGTATCTTTGGTGATGCTGCAATCGCCAAAGCATGTTGCTTTGTTTAAACTTCACAGCTTCTAGAGTTGTTCACTGTTTTTTCAAGTCCTATTCTACCTTGGTAGCAATCCTTGTGTGTGTGTGTGTGTGTGTGTGTGTGTGTATGTCCTTCTTCCAGCTACACAAGGATCTACTGCTGATGTTCCTACTGATAGTTTTATCAACATGGCTAAAGATTCAGATTATTCTGATTTGAATACACCTTACCCTTTTCCACTGGAGTGGTTTTTACGACGATTACAAGCTATGTCAGTTAGAGACTGGATGCAATTGAATCTAGTGATAGATCACGTGAAGTGTTAATACCATTTTACAATGCCTTAGTAAGGCCACACTTGGAATACGGCATCCAGTTTTGGTCACCACGATGTAAAAAAGATGTTGAGACTCTAGAAAGAGTACAGAGAAGAGCAACAAAGATGATTGGGGACTGGAGGCTAAAGCATATAAGGAACGGTTGCTGGAATTGGGTATGTCTAGTTTAACGAAGAGAAGGACGAGGGGAGACATGATAGCAGTGTTCCAATATCTCAAGGGCTGCCCCAAAGAAGAGGGAGTCAAGCTGTTCTCCAAAGCGCCTGAAGGCAGGACAAGAAGCCATGGATGGAAACTAATCAAGGAGAGAAGCAACCTGGAACTAAGGAGAAACTTCCTGACAGTGAGAACAATTAACCAGTGGAACAACCTGCCTCCAGAAGCGGTGAATGCTCCAACACTGGAAGTTTTTAAGAAGAGACTGGACAGCCGTTTGTCTGAAATGGTGTAGGGTTTCCTGCCTGGGCAGGGGGTTGGACTCGATGACCTCCAAGGTCCCTTCCAACTTTATTATTATTATTATTATTATTATTATTATTATTATTATTATTATTATTATGTTCACCTTTGCAGTTAAAAAACAAAAAACAGAAACATAAATTTATTTCTTTTCCCCCCTCCTTCTTGTTAAAATAGCCAGCACTCAATCCTCTCCAAGGCAGCCCTTCAATAGATGGAAACTTAAATGAGCTCCATATTACAGTAAAAAGTTGTAACGATTTGCCGGGCCGAAAGACCGACCTCCAGCCAAGTCCTTACGTGGTTTATAAGTTCTTTGACTTTGCCGATCACGATACGGCCATCGTTCCCAGCAGCAACCAACCTCAGTTTGACGACCACACGGGCTTCCCGGTGCCAATGAATGCTGATCTCGACCGTTATCTGAAATCCGAATTTTTGAATCTCTACGTCTTTGATGACGGGGAAACAGAAGAGGGGGCTTACCTAGGAAAAGCAAATGTTCCTTTAATTTCATTGGCCCATGGTAAATCCATTTCAGGTAAGATCCTGCCCCTTTGCTAAACCGGATCTTAAGTTGGGCAGTTCGTGCTTCAACTTGTCCTAATAAAGGAGAATATTTTGTAGCTTAGGACTGAAATGAGGGATCCTTGGTGCTCTCTGAGCTTGCTTTCTTGCAGACGTTTCATGACCCAAACTATGTAACATCCTTAGTGCTAGAAGGGAGGGGTGTGTGCTGATGATGTTATCTAGTTTGGGTCATGAAACATCTGCAAGAAAATAACCCAGCTCAGAGAGCACCAAGGACCGCACAGTCCTCCTCCTCCTCCTTCTTCTCCTCCTCCTCCTCCCCCTCCTCTTCTTCCTCCTCCTCCTCTTCTTCCCCCTCCTCTTCCTCTTCCTCCCTTCTAGCTCTGATGATATCTAGTTTGGGTCATGAAACATCTGCAAGAAAATAACCCAACTCAGAGAGCACCAAGGACCGCACAATCCTCCTCCCCCTCCTCCTCCTCCCCCTCCTCCTCCTCTTCCTCCTCCTCCTCTTCTTCCTCCTCCCTT